GCCACTATCGTAGGATCCTGATTATCTGACATATTAAGGTGGTTGGTTCGTATTCTCCATCCATATTCATCCTTTGTTGGCCCATATATTTTCCTGAGAACTTTCCTCTCCCATGTGTTTAATAGGTTTTCTGCTGTTTTTGTTAGGGTCCAAGTTTCACTTGCATATGTTACAACTGGTCTGATCACAGTTTTATAAATAGTTTTCTTTGTTTCTCTTGTAATGTTTTTACTTTTGAGTATTTTCTGACTACTGAAGTATGCCCTGTTTCCGGCTGATATTCTTTCTTTTATTTCTGTTAGTAATTCGTTTCTTTCATTTAACAAGGATCCTAGGTATTTGAATTGATTTACTTTTTCAAAAGTTTGGTTTCTAATTTTAATTGTTTCATCTGTTTGTTCCTCTCTTATCATGGTCATGTATTTTGTTTTTTTTTGGTTGTTAACTTCCAGTCCTGCTTGTAAAGATGCGTCTTCTAATTCAATAAAGGATTTTGATATGTCTTTTATACTTTTCCCTAGAAGTGCTATGTCATCAGCATATGCCGAATGGTCTAAACTGAGCAAACCTCAATTTCAGCCAAAGGCCGGTCAAGCAAATACATCACCCCGGGTGGATGAGACTAGTTAACCTTGGTCGGCAACTCATCTAAGAGAAGGAAACTCTGAATTCAAACCCGAGTTGGAGTCCCGTAAGGCGCATACAATGTCAATTCCTGCAACCGTACCCATCCCTGGTCGTCTTGACGTAGAGTCTTGCCACTGGATATGGTGGGCTCGGACGAGAGAGTGAGGTTGACGCTGCGCAACTCTTCCTCACTTTAAGCAAAAGTCACCCGCGCAAGTCATCAGTCACCAGACGACTCGATGGTCATCGTCGATCCTCGACGGACGAACAACACACATGCAAGATACTGAAGTGGTTGTTTGTAGAGTGTGCCCGTTGGTTGTGGGTCTTGAGTTTCCCTCAGAAAGTATCCTGTTATCGTTCATCGAGTGTCAATGTGTATGTTTCTAATAACTCTCTACAATGTTAGGTTAAAGAGCATACAAGACAGTGAGTCTCCCTATCTTAGGCCTCGTCTAATATGAAATTCCCTTGAATATTCTCCTTGAATCTTGATTTTGCTTTTTGAGTTGTTTAGTGTTACATGTATTAGTCTTGTCAGTTTGTTGGGTATCCGAAATTCCTGCAGAGTCTCATATAAATAGTTTCTTTTGATGCTGTCACAGGCCATTTTATAGTCGACATAGAGGTGATGTACTAGTATATTAAATTCATAGCATTTCTCTAATAGGCATGTGATGGTGAAAATCTGATCAGTCGTTGATCTGTTAGGCCTGAATCCGCATTGGTAATCACCTAGTATTTCTTCAGTGTAAGGTTATAGTCTTTTGGCAATAAGTTTCGTCAGTATTTTGTATGTAACATTTAATAGGGAGATTCCTCTGCAGTTTGTGCACTGAAGTTTGGAGCCTTTCTTGTGTATTGGGGTTATTAATGCTGTTTCCCATTCTGTCGGGATTTCCTCCTCTTGCCAAATTTTAGTTATAAGTTTATGTATCTGATTGTGTAGTTCTTTTCCTCCATATTTAATCAGTTCTGCTGTGATAAGGTCTTGTCCGGGGGCTTTGTGATTTTTCATGTAATTAATTACCTCTTTGGTTTCTTCTAGGGTTGGGCATTGTATAAACGGGTCTGGTCCTCCCTGTGGGAGTTGATATTCTTCTTCTTGTCTATTGTCTGCATTCACTCAGATTTCCTCAAAATATACAGCCCACTTCTTCAGTACTTTACTATTTCCGTGATTAATTCACCATTGTGGCTCTCTCTTGTCTTTCTGGTGTCCCTTTCTAACATGATCATTCGTGCTTTATTTCTTTCTTCCACAGTCTCTCTGCATTCATTGTCGTACCAGCCTACTCTATTGTTGGCTTGCTGAAATCCCACTACTTTTTCTGCTGATCTTTTAATGGCATTTTTTATCATATCCCATTGATCATTTATGTTGTTTTCCCCGTTTATTTCCTCGTGCGATTTTTCTCATTGTGCTTCTACTTCATTCTGGTAAGCTTTTGCTGTTAATGGGTCTTTGGGCAGCTTTTGGTAATCGTATCGTTTCTCTCTTTTTTACGACCATTGTGAACTAAGCTTATCCTCTGCCCATATTTCACCCTTACAAGTGGATGGTCCGAGTCCGCATCTGCTCCTCTAAGGCTTCTCACATCTAATATATCTGATCCATGTCTTCGATCTATTAAAACGTGATCGATTTGATTGCGGGTTTTCTTCTTAAAAGATGTTACTCTCCTGTCATTGTGTACTATGAATAATATGTTAATTCTTGATTAGGCTAGATTAAAATAGTTCTCTCAAGCTCGATAGGTGGTGTAGTATCAGTTCTTGCCACGGGTGACATAATTTTACAGAACACCGCCGAAATAATAAACTACTTTAAATCATGCAAATGAACTTTTTTTTCTTCAGTATTTTGAGGGCCGACGATCAATGTACATTGTAGAAGTGATAAACGCAGGACCTTCATACGTGTCAGGTGAAAAATAGATGATCATATTGTAAAGGGTTTCTGTCAGGCATATCTCCGGGGAAATCCCCCCCCCCCTCGAGCAAAATGGGTAAAAACAAGACAACAAATATATATTTTTAAAATTAAAAAAACGACTAAATCGTCATTTTTAAACAGTTTTAAAAAGAATAGTAACTGGTGCCTTTATCCGATTACAAATAGTGGAATCTATAAAATATCGATACGCTCGCTATATTTGATGATCCGTTTACTTAAGGCTAGATCTAATCTTGTTAAGGGCTTACAGTATTCAGTTATAAATATCCTACTGAAAATAAGCCAAAGTCTTACTTCCCATTTTTCGCACATATCAATATTTTTTATTCAATTATTTTTTGCAAATTCACAAATTTTAAGACTTTAATTACATTGTATTAAAATACTTTTACATCAATATCAAGGACTACAATTCTAATAATAGTTCTTACCGAGTATCACACATACACAATCTATGTTCAAATTATATTTCATTATAAAATAACTACTTTTAAAGTAAGGATAGGTGTTAATTATACATTGTATAGGCTTAAACAAATATTGTTTTATTAGCATAACTATAAAAGGTACTCGATTCCATGAATGTTGAGTTATATGAAATGGAAACTTTAAAAAATTGAAAGATTTTTTTTTTAATTTAGAATTTAACGGGCGCATCATAATAGTGGCACATTTCATTAATTATTATGTCGAAAAGGTTAGTGTTTTCTTAAATCGTACTATGTCTATGTTTGTAACAAAGTTTTCTGTATAAAAGAGATTTAAAAAAAAAAAAGAAATAGCCAACATTTATTAAATTCCCACCAGCTTTTATCTTCTGAATATTACAATAATAAACAAACTTCCCATTCTGTTTGCAAGAATGTAAAAAAAAAAAATATTTTGTTTTCAAAATGCCCATTCCATTTTTTGTTTTGTTATTACTTGTTTTAGAATAAATTGTTATTCCTAATTTGTCAACTTAAAATAAATTCTGTGGATTGGGAGGGGGGGGGGGGGGGGGGGTGTTTTATGGGGAATGCCGGGGGGGAAATTTCTACCATTTTGGAAACATTGCATGTCTTCTTTCAATAATAATGGCGTTCATAAACGATTTATAAAAATGACCAGTTTTGATAACCCATAAAAATGCAAAGACCTTTCAATTAACAGTTTTTTTCTCTTCTCTTTGACTATGGTAAAACTTAGAAATATTTAGCAAAGGCAATTATCTCACGTAAGTTGATTATTATAAGATTTTTTTTTTCATTTGCGCTTATCACATACAATGCTGTTATGAGGGCTTTTTTTGTAGTGGAAACTCTTTTCTTTTTTTTTTTTTTTTAATTTAATTTATATTAACTACGTAGTTAAGACCCAAAATTTTTTTTTTTTTTTTTTTTTTTTTTTTTTTTTTTTTTTTTTTGTTTTTTTTTTTTGTGGAAACTTTTTTTTTTTTTTTTTTTTTTTTTTAAATTCATTTATATTAACTACGTAGTTAAGACCCAAAGAGATTTAGATTGAAATAAAAAATTGAAAGCCACATTACTATTTAGTAATTTAAAGAAATATTTGCATAGCGCAACTACGTCAATCAGAGTTGTCACCCGACTTTTCGAGGCCCCTTTTCGGTCTTGTCCTGCCCCACCTTGCGTTGAATGAAAGATGATAAGTCAGGAAATACCTACACCACACCATTAAGCCCATCCGAGGCCCACTGCAGTCGTAGGGGTTGCTAAGCTCACTCAGTTTCTGCTCTTCCTCTCTCAAAAAATGACAATACAGTTAACGCTGGTCATAATTTTTTTTGTGATGATAGATACCCTGCCTAGTGGAGTAGCTGGGGCTAGTGTCAGTGCTGATAGATACACATCCTTGTGGAGTAGCTACTGTTAGTGCTACCCTAGTCTCGCCAAGACTTATGCCACGCTACAATTAACGATACAAAGTCTGCATTGTCATAAAGTCCTGCCCCTCCATATAATGAAAAAAGGGACATCTTGGCTGACCACCCAACCCGCGTCACTTGCAGAGGCGTAGCTAGAGAGTTTGGCGCCAGGGGACATTGATTCATTTTCACGCTCCCCTCCTCAACTCTGAAAACTATTATTTTGATTCATTAAATACCATAACACCCCATATTGGCGCCCCCGCTAGAATGGTGCATGGTGATATCAGTCCCCCTCTTCTCCCCTTTGCTACGCCTCTGGCCACTGTCACTGGTCACTGCCCCCCCCCCCCCCCCCGAAAATCTGAAATCCCCCCCCGGGGGAAACTGTCTAAAAGAAACACTGATGATGTACCCACCTCGCTCCCCCCCCCAACACCCCCACAAAAATTCTAATTCCCAACATCACTTCACAGATGGTTGTGCGGCTTCTGTTTAGCCCAGGAAATATGTTGGCAACAAATCGACGTTGCACCGTAATTGAACTTTGCTCCCAATTATACACTTCCAGCTGTGTCAAAGAAATCATTCATGCGAGTAAATAATGCAATATTTTTTAAGTAGAAATATTAATATTAAAACCCGGTAATCTATTAATAATTGATGGTTTAGTTCATATGCTTTACTTTTGGTAATTTTTTAAATTACACGTTTAATTGTTTAGGTCACTTGTCAACACTAAAGACTTGTTCTATTTGTCAAACAATCAAGACTCACAGTGTTTTTTAAATTTAAAGGCAAGAGCTGGACCGGACATTATTTTCATTATTTATTATTCGATCGGTTTTAAGTCGTGAGTAACACAACAGCCTACCGTCTCGTTGTCAGTAATAACATTTTTTTTCAGAACAAGTTTCATGTGTAGTAGTGTGCCCGGTCGGTTGTGTGTTTTGAATTGAATTTAATCGTATTAAGTTAATAATTTTATAATTAAATAATGTTCGAACCATGCCATAGTGTACCATGACCATAGCCGGTCAATTATCTTGTTTATAATTTTTAAGTCTTAATTTAAGTCGTATGAGTATAAATTTATGACGGTCGACTTTAAAGTATACAATAAGTTATTCTCAATAAGTATTAAAAACACTACATTTTAATTAAAAAATATTGACTGATTGAATATAAATATTATAATTATATTTTCAGTTTTATTTTAAATTTTAATTACATTATATTTTGGTATTTTAACCACTTATGACATGATTCATTGCTTATAACTTATACTTGTAATGTATCTGATCATGGGCGCCCGCAGAAAACTTTCTAGTGGGGGGCAAAAAAATCGATTAACTTTCTAGGGGGGGGCAAACAATTTTTTAGTAATGTTTTACTGCGGGCGCCCATGTATCTGATACTGATTAGTGATAGTAGTGATATGATACCGGTATATAACAAGTTAAATGCATGATACCCGTAGTATATAACCAGTCGAATGCGCGTGGGACTATTATTTGAAACATTCATTATACCAGTTTTAATTATCCATTAATGTTTGTGTTGTAATTAACTCAGGTGAGTCTAATACATCTAAATGCATCTTACAGTTACAGTAGCATGGCGGCTGATACGCTACCCGAGTACACGATTCGACCGATGAGAAGAGAGGAAATAGAAGAGTCGTATGAGTTGATAGACAAGGAAGGATGGAACCTAACATTAGAGAAGTTATCACACCTTTTTAAATCATGTCCTCAAGCCTTTAAAGTGGCGGTTACACCACAAGGAGAGATTGTTGGTCAGTACCACTTTGGACAGTACTTTAAGTAATGATTCCACTGGGATAGTGGCTCAAGAGACAGTAGTAATAGCAACGAGTTGTTAATATTTTGTCACTAAATTGACTAAATCTGTTATTTCCCATAAAATAGACACATGTACATTAAACTTGGAGTTCTGGGTTTAGAATAGTTTAGGTAAAGACAGGATTGACAAACATTTGGGTAGATGCATTCTGTATGTTGTGCCACCTTTAGTCCTTATATAATCTGCTACAGATTTCATAAAAAATAATGAGCCTAAGAAAGTTATTTCTTCTTACCCGTTATGAACATATTTAATAAGTCTAATCTTTCCATTTGTTTGCTCTTAAGGAACAATAAGTTTTTTCCCAACATTTGACGGGGAGTGTGTTTTAGGGAACATAGTGGTCAAGGGAACATACCGCCACAAAGGTATGGGAAACCAACTAGTTGACGCGATGAAAGCACAATATCCAGACTGGGTTGTGTCCCTTACAGCTGTGCCAGGGGCGGACCAGTTTTATTTGTAAGTGTATGAAACAGTCTTGGCTGTGTGTCGGACTTTGACTGTATGTGTGTCTTGGTTATGGGTTAGAGTGTGTGTGTTGATGGGGGTTAACAACCCAAGCTCTTGTTAGATTTACTGGACTGAGTGTCAGGGACGCCAATTACCTAAGGCATGGTGGGGGATTTGCACCCCCCCCTCCCCTCCCCCCCCCCTCTGAAAAAAAACTGAAATGAGGGGTTAACAACCCAAGCTCTTGTTAGATTTACTGGACCGAGTGTCAGGGACGCCAATTACCTAAAGCAGGGTGGGGGATTTGCCCCCCCCCCTCCCCTCCCCCCCCCCCTCTGAAAAAAAACTGAAATGGTGAGCTCAGTTTTTACAAGTGCTACTCTCTATCATTACTATGAAAGAATGACAAAAAACAACACCAAACAGGCAAACAACAAACCAACTCACAAAAAAAACCATTATGTAATATTACGGATTAACATTATTAAAATGCAAAAAAACATCATACTTTAAATCATTTTTTGTTCTTTATTTCTACACCATGTTTCCTTGTGTTTATATTTTTTTAAAGCGATTTCAACCAAAGTAAAGTAGCATGAATTCATATTGAAGCAAAAAGAAAAAAATTAGCTTAATGTCATAATTTAAGTTAAATAGTGACCTCAGTATATATAGACTCTGAATTGTATATTATCAACCAAGTAAAAAATAAAATAAAAATTATTGGGAACTTTGCACTGAATTTTGGAATTTTTTCAATCGTGCCTGGGAAATGTTGGCAGCACAAGTTAAAACACACTTAAACAAAGTAACTTTTCTGAAACGATCAACTTTTCAATAATATTGATATTATACATTATACAACTCAACATTTCTCATGCCACTCAAACTATATGAATGAAAGAGATTTTTCTTACTAATTAAACTTCCATCGTGTTTGATCACAAAATAACTCATACCAATATTTCCCGTTGTTTTCCAAAAGGAATGTAGGATTCCATTTTACAGAACCCCAACAGGGACATGACATTTTTCATTTAATCGTGGACAGAGACTTTCTAGACCAGAAATGTTTAAAAAGTGGGGACAGCGCCACGGTTGACCTTTACAGTTCCGCATCGTTGGATGCCCTTGTTGCATATGACACAGAGGCTAAAGGTTATACAAGTTTGCCTTACGTCACAATGATGGTGGATTGTTTTCCCACACTTCTGGCCAAGGATCGGGCCGGTCGACTCTTAGGTTACGTGGCGGCTTTTATAAAACGTTCTGAAATTGTGCTGGATACCCTGTGTGCTGATAGTGATGAGGTTGCCTGTCTGCTACTCAGGTAATTTTCTTGTACATTTTGTTATTTGGGTTTAAACTTGTTTTGTGTTGAAAATCTCTAAATGCACAGCCTTTGCCGACTAGTATAAATAAATGGTTAAAACATCAATCATGGGCTCGGTGTGGTAGACCCCTGACCAAGGACTGGTTACCGTGTGCTGGAGTCACCCCCATCATAGGACTGGGCAGTGCTGAGAAGGTCCACTCTGACTGTGGCTCAGATGTACAAACCTCATAATTATACCTGGAGTTTTGCTGAACAACCGTTTCTGGACAGTTAGATCACACATAGGTGGTGCCAGACTCTGGGTAATGCTGATGAACTGGGATGACTGTGGATTTCTGTTGGCCAGTGCTGGTCTCAAGACGTAATACTGCTGTAAAGATTTAAAATAGTCTGAAGGGATGCACCTGACATCTGACATCTAAATGAGTTTGCAGTGAGATTTTTAACAAATGGTTTAAGTAGAAAGTACAAAGACACTAGGAAAAAGAAGACTTATAAATACATGCTGCCAAATAAGTCAGAAGTCAGATTGCCATTGTGTTTAAGTTTAATAGTAATCTCACCTGCCAAATAAGTCAGAAGTCAGATTGCCGTTGTGTTTAAGTTTAATAGTAATCTCACCTGCCAAATAAGTCAGAAGTCAGATTGCCATTGTGTTTAAGTTTAATAGTAATCTCACCTACCAAATAAGTCAGATGTCATATTGCCATTGAGTTTAAGTTTAATAGTAATCACTCGTGCTTGTTTTTGTTTCTTGCAGAGATATTTTAAAGTTGTTCCCTGACAACAACAAATTGAAAGTACAAGTTCCATCATCTCGTCTGTTTCTCTCCGAGCTTGGTCAGGTCTCGTCGTCCAGCAAGTACAACCGATATTCTATAGGCCAGCCTACGTTATCTCCTTTGGTTAAAGTGTACAACGTCTCTGACTGTGATTATTCTTATTGAATTGTGTCATATTTGTGCGGTGCCCCTGCCAACCTTGTCGTGCGGCCAACCTTGTCGTGTGGATAGGGGCTGACGGCCCAGTGCGACACTTTTTTGGGGTTTATATATAAAACTATTTATATTATATGACGTGTTACAGGAGCGGGGGCAACTTTTGGGACTTTGTCAACTGCAGCATTTAGTCAACCTATGCCACTGGTACCATGTACACATGTCAGGGTTACACATTGTACATAGATGAGTTTGATTCTGCACACATTAAATAGTGGGATTACTAAATGTTTTTAGCACTTTATTATATTTTTTTCAGTTAAAAAAATTCTTGTTCAGTCCAGAGTTTTGTGATATTTTTAGAGCTTGTCCAGTTTGAAATTAAGAAACATAACAAAAGTCATCTCATGGAGTCATTGATGTCATGCAGAATTGAATATATTTTTGTGACGATTGCTTTTGACAAGTTTTAAGTGCATTTTTAAATTTAGTTTGAAAGAAAAATAGTACAATATATTGATTGTTGTTGTTTTTGAAATGTTCAGAGGAATGGGACATGGTATGTTGAAATGTTCAGAGGAATGGGACATGGTATGTTGAAATGTTCAGAGGAATGGGACATGGTATGTTGAAATGTTCAGAGGAATGGGACATGGTATGTTGAAATGTTCAGAGGAATGGGACATGGTATGTTGAAATGTTCAGAGGAATGGGACATGGTATGTTGAAATGTTCAGAGGAATGGGACATGGTATGTTGAAATGTTCAGAGGAATGGGACATGGTATGTTGAAATAAACCACTGAACAAATGTTCAAAGCAAAGGGAAAAGAAGGCGGCAGAATTTCAAATGGTTGCCCTGAGTCAAAATGTTAACATATTGCTGTGTGAAACCATAACTAAACACATTACTGTATTTAACTATAACTCATCACATTACTGTAATCAACTACCAGTTACAACTCAACACATTATTGTATTCAACTATAGCTAAAAACATTACTGTATTCAGCTATAACTAAACATTACTCAATTACTGCATTAACTATAACTAAACACATTATTATATCAACAATCTGGTGCAACTCAACACATTACTATATTCAACTATAACCTATCACATTACTGTTTTCAACTACAGGGTATAACTTATCACATTACTGTATTAAACTACCTGGTACAACTCATCACATTACTGTATTCAACTACCTGGTACAACTCATCATATTACTGTATTTAACTACCTGGTACAACTCATCACATTACTGTATTCAACTACCTGGTACAACTCATCATAATACTCTATTTAACTACCTGGTACAACTCATCACATTACTGTATTCAACTATAACTGAAAAAATTACTGTTTTCAACCATCTGGTACAACTCATCACATTACTGTATTTAACTACCTGGTACAACTCATCACATTACTGTATTCAACTACCTGGTACAACTCATCATAATACTCTATTTAACTACCTGGTACAACTCATCACATTACTGTATTCAACTATAACTGAAAAAATTACTGTTTTCAACCATCTGGTACAACTCATCACATTACTGTATTTAACTACCTGGTACAACTCATCACATTACTGTATTCAACTACCTGGTACAACTTATCATATTACTGTATTAACTACCTGGTACAACTCATCACACTACTGTATTCAACCACCTGGTACAGCTCATCACATTACTGTATTTAACTACCTGGTACAACTCATCACATTACTGTATTCAACTACCTGGTACAACTCATCACATTACTGTATTCAACTACCTGGTACAACTGATCATATTACTGTATTCAACTACCTGGTACAACAGATCATATTACTGTATTTAACTACCTGGTACAACACATCACACTACTGTATTCAATTAACTGGTACAACTCATCACATAACTGTATTCAACTACCTGGTAAAGCTCATCATATTACTGTATTCAACTACCTGGTACAACTCATCATATTACTTTATTCAACTAACTAACACACATATTCTGGTGAGGGTCTGAGATTACTCTCTTATGACCCCGGCTAGTAAATTGGCTATCAACTCCATCTGTTGAGCTGAGCCATACAACATTTCCCTCACAAAGGATCCTCCAACCGCCCTGGCTTCCCCCGGGAGATCTAGTGAGGGACACTCGGTCAACAGATGCTCTAGGGTCTCCGGGGCCAGGCTGCAGTGCCGGCAGGTAGGATCTCTGTTGTTATCCAGCCGCCAGAAATATGTGCGCAAGGGGCAGTGCTCGGTGCGCATCTGCGTCACCAAACTCTGCGATTTGCGTCCTAACCCCCACCATGCTAGGAGTGGGCAAGTTTGAATAGACGCCTCTGGCGGTCGTGTTGTCAGCCCATTGCCTGTACCACTTCTGCCTGAAGTGGTCCGCCAGCCAGTTTTTAATTCCCAAGAAAGTCATTGGTACTTGAGGCTGGGCAGCCCCGGTTTTCGCCAGAGTGTCCGCTCTCTCATTGCCACTGATGTTGACGTGCCCAGGTATCCACTGTATTGTAACCTTGCACCCTAGTTCACCAAGTTTGCACACGTCGTTGGTAATGGCGTCGACCAAGTGTGTGGTACCCTGTCTCTTTCCCAAGATCTCAAGAGCAGATCTTGAGCCTGAGTAAACAACTACATCAAGCCCCGCATGTTCCGTCCCTTTCAAAGTGTCGTGGACTCTCTCCAGGGCCATGTGCATAGCTATATGCTCCGCATCAAAATTTGACGCTGCAGTCCTACAAGGCCCCGAGAGCTCTTCAGTGGGTGGTCCTCCCACTGGATACAGTATGAGCGCACCGTACCCAGCAGTTTTTTCTCTCAGGTTGGCAGAGCCGTCAGTGAACACTTTCACTGGTATGTGTGTCAACACATCCATGGTCTCAAGGGCAGCCGCTTTCTGAACATGTTCAGGGCTGCGTTTCGTCACTGCTGCATCAGCCAAGGCCAAATGTATAGAGGGATGCGAGGGCTCCGCATATGGCGGATTAACTAGAATTAGGGTCAGACGTTCTCTATTTGGGGCAAGGTGACTGTCCTTTCCAGCTCCACGACCTGGTGCATGAAAGAGGACCTCTTTAGTCTCCTGCCGCCCACACAGTTATTCTGCATTTGGAAGGCCGGTTCGTTTTCGTCGAGCCGCCGGTACCTCTCTACGGTACTTAATATTGACTTTTCCCTCCTAATTTGTAACGGTTCTACATTGGCCAAGACCTCTACAGTAGCTGTGGGAGTAGTCCTGTATGCGCCACAGATGAATCTCAGAGCCTGATTCTGGATTCGGCCAAGTTTTTCCAGTGCGGTCTTGCTTGCAAAGGATTGGACCGGCATGCTGTAATCCATCACTGACCTTACACTGCTTAGGAAAAGAGCTCTAAGCGTAGTTGCGCCCGCGCCCCAACTTGTGCAAGCCAGTTTTTTCACCAGGTTGAGCTTGGCGATTGCCTGGGAGCAGAGGTCCTGTACAAAATTATGCATTTGCACCTTTTGGTCCAATTTAACTCCCATGTAAACCGGTTGCTTGTCCCACTTGAGCGCTACATCGCCCATGTTATTTAGGAGTGTTTGTCACAGCAGATGTCATTTAGGAGTGTTTGTCACAGCAGATGTCATTTAGAAGTGTTTGTCACAGCAGATGTCATTTAGGAGTGTTGTCACAGCAGATGTCATTTAGGAGTGTTTGTCACAGCAGATGTCATTTAGGAGTGTTTGTCACAGCAGATGTCATTTAGGAGTTTTTTTTCACAGCAGATGTCATTTAGGAGTGTTTGTCACAGCAGATATCATTTAGGAGTGTTTGTCACAGCAGATGTCAATTAGGAGTTTTCAAAAGAAGAAATATTAACACGGCACATTCGGTTCCAACATAGAATCAATCAAAATATAAAATTCAATCTTCGTTAGCATGTGGTATAGAAAGAAGCGAAAAAGGTGGTAAGGGGGGGGGGGGGGTTAGTGAATGGTCAATTTGCCGCCATCCCTAAGTTTGACCCCTGATTAAATGTTATCATTGTGCTGTTTTGACATAGCTCTGATACCTACGTGTAATGTTTTATTACAGAGCCCTAGGTTTAAGAGGATAATAAGGGGAGAGACTGCAATCAGGTTAGCACAATAGGGAATGAGTAAAACAAAGTAAGGTCAAACCTGAGAAAAAGGTACACAAAACAACGAACGCGTCGTCAGGAAGCCGTCGTCAGCGAACAAAACAACAGGAAAAAATAAACAGACTAAAATCGTTAAAATAGAACGTTCGCTTTCCTATACGATTACTTCCTCTCAGCTAAGTGCTATTAAAGTTAGAAGTTTATCTGTTCCTTTATTACCGATAAAAGATTGTTTAAATTAGTCTCTCTATGACATAAATTATTTAAACTAGTCTCTTTATGACATAATTATTTAAATTAGTCTCTTTATGACATAAATTATTTAAACTAGTCTCTTTATGACATAATTATTTAAATTAGTCTCTTTATGACATAAATTATTTAAACTAGTCTCTTTTTGACATAATTATTTAAATTAGTCTCTTTATGACATAAATTATTTAAATTAGTCTCTTTATGACATACATTATTTAAATTAGTCTCTTTATGACATAATTATTTAAATTAGTCTCTTAAAGACATAAATTATTTAAATTAGTCTCTTTATGACATAATTATTTAAATTAGTCTCTTAAAGACATAAGTTATTTAAATTAGTCTCTTAAAGACATAAATTATTTAAACTAGTCTCTTTATGACATAATTATTTAAATTAGTCTCTTTATGACATAAATTATTTAAATTAGTCTCTTTATGACATACATTATTTAAATTAGTCTCTTTATGACATAAATTATTTAATTAGTCTCTTTATGACATAAATTATTTAAATTAGTCTCTTTATGACATAAATTATTTAAATTAGTCTCTTTATGACATAAATTATTTAATTAGTCTCTTTATGACATACATTATTTAAATTAGTCTCTTTATGACATAAATTATTTAAATTAGTCTCTTTATGACATAAATTATTTAAATCAGTCTCTTTATGACATAAATTATTTAAATTAGTCTCTTTATGACATAAATTATTTAAATTAGTCTCTTTATGACATAAATTATTTAAATTAGTCTCTTTATGACATAATTATCTAAATTAGTCTCTTTATGACATAATTATCTAAATTAGTCTCTTTATGGACTGACATAACCTCAAGAGATTTGTTTTTTTTGCCGAATGTGTGAATTAATGGACATACACTTTCTGCCTCCATCCGTGCCCCCCCCCCCCCGCCCCAAAAACCTCCAAAATAAACCACCACCCTACAGGTCATATAGGTCTATGGCACTTTTAAAACCAACACGTTTTTACACAATACGCATATAGCACTGCGCCTGTCAGGGAATGATCTGACCCCACCTGGTCTTAGGCTTCAGTTACGCCACTGGGTCCAGGGGCTCCAAACCAGGGAATTAATGAGGCCTAGTTCATGATACACGTGGAATGTGATACT